AGACTGGGTGATGCAGTGAAGAGAAAGTAATGGAACTGTCAGAGAAGGCCCCACCCTCTTGCCCTCCAACTCTGATATTATGAGCCCTAACACCTGGACAAATAACTTAGCCCTCCGAGCCTCGGTTTTCTAACCTGTGAAATGGGGTTGATAATGGTGCTTTCTACTCAGGGTGGCTGCAAAGGTCACACAGAGCACTAATATAAATGTACTACAACAATCTATTAAAAAAAAAAAGCCAAAGAAAGGAAAACAGGCCCCTTTAAAAGGCCGGGTGTGCAATCCTAGCACTCTGGGAAGCCGAGGGCCAGTAGGTTGCTTGAGCTCAGGAGTTCAAGATCAGCTTGGGCAAGAATGAGACCCCTTCTCTAAAAAAAATAGCCAGGCATTGTGGCGGGTGCCTGTAGTCTCAGCTACTATGGAGGCTGAGGCAAGAGAATCACTTGAGCCCAAGAGTTTAAGGTTGCTGTGAGCTATGACTCCATGGCACTTAACCCCAGGCGTCTGAGTGAGACTCTGTTTTTTTGTCTGTTTTTTTTAGACAATCTGTAGCACTTGGTAAATATGCTGTAAGTTAGTCCCTGCCCTGCCTCCTCCCTTAGGTTGGGACAATAAGAAGGAGCTGCAGGTATGGGGGTCGAAATCTCTGGATGGCCCAGAATCACTGTTGTGGCCTGGGAAGGAAGCAAAAACACCGTTTAGTGGCAAGGAGCCCATAGCCTGTATTTTTCCCCCATAGCCTGTTTTTTTGCCAGTCAGGGGAGGTCTGAGTCTGCAGGTATATCTGGTCCAAAAGGACCTTACAATGAACACGAAGGGGAGAAAAGAACCCAGGTCCTGATCATACAACAGGTCCTGAGCATACAACAGAACATTCCTGCTGTCCCACAGCTACCTCTCAGCCTGAACCCCCCAGACCCTTTATCCAGACCCACCTTGAGCACTCTCTTGGTGAGGACTTCTGTTTTCTCATCTGAAATGAGGACATCCAGTTCAGGAGCTCCTGAGGCTCTGAGGGCCAGGCCAGGCCTGGGGTCTGGGGCTACTCACCTGCATGAAAGCATCACCAGAAGAAGAGGCATCTTGGGGATGGGAAGCAGGTGCCAGCACCAGGCATGAGGTTGCCCCAGGTTGCCAGGCCCAAGTGGCATTCTTACTTCTTTCTGGGATAGATTGATAAGAGCTTTGAGAAGCAAGGAAGGGGATCACTTAGTGGTTAGGAGCATAAGCTTTGGAGTCCAAGAGGTAAAGGTTAAAATGCCTCTGTCCAAAAGCCAGTGTTACAGTCGTTTTCTTTTTCTGCAAAAGAGGATTGATAACACCCACCACATAAGGTGGCTGAAAGAGTTCAGTGAAGTACAAAATGTGTCATGTGCTTGGTTAGCACTATGGCCTATATATTGCAGGGGCTTAATACACATAAATGACAGCTGTCTTCACTTAGGGAACATTTATTGAACATGTAGTAGATGCCAGGCTGTATGTCAAGCTCTGAGGCGATGAGAGGAACAAAACCCTTGCGAAGCTCTTAGCCTAGTGGAAGGCAATAGAGAAGTAAGCAGATCGGCTCAGCAGGTCAGAAGCGCTGTAGTAAGGAAGTACAGGGTATCTGGAGGAACCGAGGAGGTAGAGGGCAGGGCAGGAGGAGAGTAGGGAAGGCATCCTGGAGGAGGTGCTATCATTACTAAATCGTGAAGAGAGAGAAGCCAGGTTTGGGATAGGAATAATTCGGGGAGAGGGTTCTAAGCAGAGGAGATGGTACTGGCTGTGTGTTAGGTTTAGGATGGGGCTTAGGACAGATGTCTTGGCCCTAACATTCTCATAAGCCAGTGGAGAGCCCTTTTCCCGGACCATGGGCCACAGAGGTGAGTGGACATGGGGCTAGGACCTGTCTCATGTTCCCAGGGCAGCGTTGCTGTGGCCATTTCAGCATTTCAATTCTCTTCCTCCACCTCAGCCCTGCTTCCCCATAGTCCTGGGGATCACCTGGTATATCCACCTCTGCCCACTGTGGCTCCCCACATCAGTGTGTCATGTCCTGGTGTCCTGGGCCCTGAGCTGGGGTGGTCAGCAGGGCCCTTGTCTCTGAGCCTCAGAGAAGGCTCTCAGGGCCTTTCCCCTGGAGGATAGAGATAATCCTAAGAATTATCGAGGGATTATGGAGGGAATGGCCGCCAGCCTGGGAGATGGTGGGCAGTAGGGAGAGTCCATTCCTTTTCATGGAGTGCCAGGATACTAGGGGTCCATGAGCAGGCACCAGCAGGCTGGGTCGAGGATAGTGGAGTGGGACCATCTGCCCGGATCCTGTCTACTGGCCTCCTCCGACTCTCCTTTCTGTAGAGCTTAAGCATCTTCACTGCTTTGGGAAATGACTTTGACACATTTTCAAAATAATTTTAAGAGTAATCTCCAGAGGGGAAGAAGAATAAACAAGCTTATAAAAATGCAAAAGGAAGCTGGGTGTGGTGGCTCACACCTATAATCCTAGTACTCCGGGGGGCCAAGGCAGGTGAATTGCCTGAGCTCGTGGGTTTGAGACCAGCCTGAGCCAGAGCTATACCTAAAAATAGCCGGGCATTGTGGCAGGCACCTGTAGTCTCAGCTACTTGGGAGGCTGAGGCAGGAGAATCGCTTAAGCCCAAGACTTTGAGGTTGCTGTGAGCCATGATCCCACAGCACTCTACCGAGGGTGACAAAATAAGACTCTGTCTCAAAAAAAAGAAAAAATGCAAAAGGAAATATGTGTATGTTTTATTTAAGGGGGTATAAAAAAGCAAGGGAGGGCTTCAGCCAGCCCCCTTGAGTGAAAGTTTCCAGCTGGGAGGTCAGGGGCACCAGGGATAACAGCACATACCTCATCAGCTCAGCTAACAGCTAGGGTCACCCTCAGTGTGCCAGCCACTGTGCTCTGTACTGATGTAGATGCAAAGAGCTGAATTCTCCCTCCAGCTGAGGACAGCTTTGGTAGGGATATTAGGACATAGACAGCAAAGGACTGTTGGACAAGGGAGAGGGTGCTGAAGGTCTTTTTTTTTTTTTTTTGAGACAGAGCCTCAAGCTATCCCCCTGGACAGAGTGCCGTGGCACCACAGCTCACAGCAACCTCCAACTCCTGGGCTCAAGCGAGTCTCCTGCCTCAGCCTCCCAAGTAGCTGGGACCACAGGCACCCGTCACAACGCCTGGCTATTTTTTTTGGTTGCAGCCGTCATTGTTGTTTGGCGGCCTGGGCTGGATACGAACCTGCCACCTTAGGTGTACGTGGCTGGCGCCTTAGCCACTTGAGCCACAGGCGCCGAGCCGGTGCTGAAGGTCTTAATAGAAATGTTCAAATACGCCTGAAGGGGCCTGGAGGAAGGAGTACTCCAGACTGCTGAGGAAAGTCAGGGCCAGGATAAGGTGGGTTGAGTTAGACCAGCAGTTCTCAACCTGTGGGTTGCGACCCACAGGAACTGTATTAAAGGGCCGCAGCATTAGGAAGGTTGAGGACCACTGAATTAGAGTTTGAAGCCCAGCTAGGATTTTGATGGACAGCGATTGAACAGGAGGCTTCCCAGGTAGCCCCAAAATAGATGGTGTGGGCAAGGTACAAGGTGGGAAATCCTTCAGTGCTTTAAGAAACAGGGATCTTTAATTTTCTTAGACGCTTATTTAACAGCTATTTGAGATGTAATTCACATACCATACGATTCACTTACTTAATGTATGCAATGTATAAAGTTATATAACCAACACCATCATCATTTATAGAATAATTTTAGAATCAATTTTAGAACATTTTCACCACCCCCCCAAAGAAGGCATGTATTCATTAGCAGTCACTCCCCTGTCCCTCCATTCCAGTCCTCGGCAACTGCTAATCTACTTTCCATTGCTATGGATTTGCCTATTCTGGATATTTCATATAAATGGAATCATATATGTGATCTTCTGTGACTGGTTCTTCAGGCGTCATCGCTATTGTACCAGGTATTGGTACTTCATTCCTTTTTATGGCTGAATAGTATTTCCACATGAATCCTGTATGTGGTATGGCTATATCACATTTGGCTTATCCATTCATCTGTTGATGGATATTTGGGTTGTTTTCCCTGTAGGCCTCTTATAAATATGCAGCTGTGAATGTTTGTGTACACATTTTAGTGAGGATATGTTTTCAGGACATTCCATTTTGAATGGAGTCCAGGATGTTTGGTGGGAGTGGGAGGTGGGCGAAGCAGAGGGACTTGCTCACCCACTTTGTCATGTGGGTGGTTGGGTGAGAGTGAGAAGGGACAGCTCAGTTCTTATTCTGGCCTCACTGGGAGTCCAGGATATATGAGGACCCGGCCCCTGGGATGTGGGAGGGGCTGTCCCTCCACCACCACCAACCCGCATTGTTGTGTCAGACCTGGCAGCTGCTTGCTGGGCTGGAAATAGCCTGAGCAGCTGGTATTTTCCCTGGAAATCGGGTGCATTTTTTCCCGTCCTGCTGAGGGCCAAAATTAGTTAAACACATAGAGAAATGTGGGCTATGCAGCTAGTCTAGATGAGGAGAGTATTGTCAACAGGAAGCTGGCTGGCCAGGGAAAAGAAGTAGTCAGGAAGTCCAAGGTCAGCGAGGCTGAGCTGTGATGCCCTATCCCCATCACACTCACACAGAGGTGGCAGTTTTGTTTACAGGAAATGCCGCAAGTATCTCATTTGACAGAACAGGAAACAGGCACTGCATTAGGGATCTGCCTCTCAGAGACAGGAGGAAGATCCAGGCTGAGTGAAGTCTTAAGTGCTGCTGTTAGCAAAAGGCTTGGTAAAACTTAGGCCTCGCCCTCAGTACTCTGCCTGTTTTTGAGTTCACAGGACAAGACAGGACACAAAAACAAGAAAGAGTTTATGCTATTTTAGTCTCCTAAAAAAGAACATCCTAACCCCACCCCAAACCCCAAAGCAAAAACACAAAACAGGGCTTTAATTACCATCTTGTCTTTTCTTCATTCCTTTTTTTTTTTTTTATCTCCTCCAGCCAGAAAACATTATGTTGTTAGACAAGAATATTCCCATTCCACACATCAAGCTGATTGACTTTGGCCTGGCTCATGAAATAGAAGATGGAGTTGAATTTAAGAACATTTTTGGGACGCCAGAATTTGTTGGTGAGTTTTAGGGCAAGAATCTGGCATCAAAAGTAGAGAAATCCCAAGAACAAACTCGTATCTGGGGCTATAACCTCTGGGCTGAGAGTTGATGCCTGGAGATATCCCCTAGAAACCTAACAGGTGAACAAGGAAATGTCTTGCTGGGCCTGTGTGTAAGGCTCCAGGTGCAGGCCTTAAGCACCCAGTGGAGCCAGGATAGGGGTGGGGTGTACAGTTAAGGCTAGAGGCCTTGCAGAGTTAAATCCTCCCAGTGCTGGACCCATCTCCTCCCTTTAGATGAGTTTATTGTGAAGATGTAAAAATTCTTCACTAGGCTGGCACCATGGCTCACACCTGTAGTCCTAGCACTCTGTGAGGCAGAGGCGGGTGGATTGTGTGAGCTCACAAGTTCCAGACCAGCCTGAATCAGAGAGAGACCTCGTCTCTAAAAATAGCAAGGTGTTGTGGCAGGTGCCTGTAGTCCCAGCTATGTGGGAGGCTGAGGAAAGAGAATTGCTTAAGCCCAAGAGTTTGAGGTTGCTATGAGCATGATGCCACAATATTCTACTGAGGGCAACAAAATTAAACTATGTCTCAAAAAAAAAAAAATTAATTAAAAATAAAAAATATTGCCTTACCCTTTTGCACTCCCATAAACTTAACGTTCTGTAAAGTAGCTTGATTTTCTGAAAAGGAAAAAGGAAGCCATCTGTTAGATGCGCTCGTTCACCTCCCCTATGTGCTTGGCCTTTATTTCATGGTGGGGGGTATTCAGCTCCCGTGGGGCCCTAGCTGCTTTCTCTTCCCTCTGTTTCTCTCCCTTGGCCCAGGCCACTGCCTGTCCTGCACCCTAGAGGCCTCCTGATAAGGCTTGGGCTGGTGGTGGAGAGTCATGAAGAAACAGCCCAAAAGAGGAGAAAGGAATAAGAGTTGAGAGCCGCCATCTAGGGCGGCACCTGTGGCTCAGTGGGTATGGTGCCGGCCCTATATACCGAGGGTGACGGGTTCAAACCCGGCCCCGGCCAAACTGCAACCAAAAACAGCCGGGCGTTGTGGCGGACGCCTGTAGTCCCAGCTACTCGGGAGGCTGAGGCAAGAGAATCACCTAAGCCCAGGAGTTGGGGGTTGCTGTGAGCTGTGTGACGCCATGGCACTCCAATGAGGGCCCTGAAGTGAGACTCTGTCTCTAAAAAAAAAAAAAAAGACTTTACAGAGAGCCGCCATCTACAGTAGAACCTCCATAGTTGACCACCCCTGTACAATGCCCACCTCCTTAAGTTTTCATACATCAGATATGCACCATATGTACGTGTCAGTACAGGAGGCCTAGTTCCTTATGTTGACCACCTCTGTATGTGGACCAGTTTGTTACATTCCCTTGGATGGTCAACTTAAAGAGGTTCTACTGTATTTAGGAGTGGAGTGGTCTTAGAGATGGAGGGAGAGCATTGTCTCTCCAGGATTTGGGGGCTAAAACTTTTGACCACAGTTAAAGAAAAACAAAAAAGAAAAACAAAATGTGTTAGACCATCACACATATATCAGCTGATGGATTTTCAAGCTCTGCAGCCACTATGGAATGGTGCTACAGAGACCCACAGACCTCAGGGCAGGAAACTCTTGTTCTGTGCCAGGCTCTAAGTCTTGTGCTCTACAAATATTGTCTCTGTTAATCCTTGAAGAGTTTCATGAGTCAGATTTGATTATTTTCTTTATCAAGTCCCTTGTTCAAGTGCAACACAACCAATAGGTGGTAGAGCTGAGGTTCAAATACAGGTACAGCCAACATCAAAGCCTATGCTCTTTCTGTTATATGTGGTTATTTCTCTAAGAAGACCCTCAAAGGGTGTACAATTTGGTTGTGGAAACAAGACACCAAAGCAGCAAATAAGAGGGATGGAATAATCTTTTTAGATCATCTTGTCCAGTTTAACAAATATGGAAATATAGAGCTGGGGGATTAAGGTCAATGAAGGTAGTTCTTCACCTACCGACAGCTATTAGGTGACACATACAGGACATAGTCTGGTACACTGAGTTAGCCACACTCAGAATGACACACTGAGGGTCACAGGTTGGTGGTAGAGCCAGCCTAAACCCGGGGTACAGACATCAGATACTTTGAGAGAGCATTTGCTGCCCACCATTCACCTGTGTGGTAAAAATGCATGTTTATTCATTAAGTTTATACCACTTGTTAAATAACAGTAGTTCCACTAGAAATTCAGAGCAATAGTGGTGAGGTGTCACAAGACAGGAAGTGATTAATTTTAAAGCAAGTTACACATGTATAAGACAGCTCTGAAGGACTGTTCAGACAAGAGATCCACTCTGGCAAAGGCAATGGGCTCTGTCATGGCCTTGAACCAGTGAGGGGCTGATGATACTGGGAGTGGAAGAAGTCTCTGAAGTTGGGGGGAAAGGAGCTAGGATGGAGCACATCCTAGGTCTGTGATGCCACAGCAGAAGAGTAAGGCCAGAATGAGTGCATTTATTGGGGGCAAGTCACTATCTACTCGGAATGGAGCCCAGAGTTTACACCAGACTTTGGTGTGAGTAGGGTATTGATAAGTGAGACAGACTGTGAAGGTTTTTTTCTGGGTGATATGCTGATAAATATCTAACAACCTAGTCTCCAAAAAATTCCTTACTTTATAGCACTGGGCAGTTTCAAGCTACTTACATGTTGTCATTGAATACTGAGTTGGGAAGACATGCACAGCATTGACTCTTATTAGCCAGTATGGTTTTGTTTGCAGTGTTTGAAGTTGCCTTATAGATATATAGGGCAACTTCTCAAAACTCCTGCCTAAATTATTCTGACTTTCTATACCAAGATCCCTGAGCATTTACAACTACTTTCCCCTATTCCCACTACTCCTTTAAAATTTCATCTGATACCCACAGTTAGTGTCAGCTTTAAGGCTCTCTCACTACAAAACTGGATTCTTGAGAAAAAATTTCTTTATAATGAGATTCAGGGCTCATGGGAGATGAGAAATCATTAAAGGCAGTAACTCTTTCTGCACTACTTGTCCAACCCCCAAAAGCTAGTGAATTGAACTTAGAGCTGGAGCGGTGAGCAGCAAAGAAAATGAAATAGGAGGACCTCCCAGAGGCAGGTGCACACATCAGCATTTCAGTCAGAGACTAGCAAGATTTCCATGTTCAAGGACGTAAGATGTTGAAATTATCAGATTTTGACAGTAAAATCCATGGAATATGTATAGAAATAAGTGGTAGAATCACAAGAATAAGCAAGCATCAAGAGATGTCAAAAATGACCAAACAAATTTTAAAAAGAACCAAATAAATAGAACTTCTAAAAACTTGAGATAAACTCAGTGCCTGTAGCTCAGCGGCTAGGGCACCAGCCACATACACTGGAGCTGGCAGGTTTGAACCCGGCCTAGTCCTGCCAAACAATAATGACAACTATAACCAAAAAATAGCTGGGTGTTGTGGTGGGTCCCTATAGTCCTAGCTACTTGGGAGGCTGAGGCAAGAGAATCTCTTTTTTTTTTTTTTAAATGGAGGGGAAGAGTTTTGGTTTTTTTTTTTTTTTTT